CCCCCCCTTTTTCCCTTATTTTTTTGGGGTGGCCCCCCCTCGAAAGCCATTTTTTTCGCATGCCCCCCCCCCCCCAAATCCCACCAGCCCCCCTACCTTATAAAAAATGAACGGTCCCTTAATGTGCGACGCACAGCCTAGGGAGGGAGATTTCGTTTGATTATTGTCCGTCCTGGTTCGGTTTACTTTTTTGAAAACATTTTGCAGTCAGAATCACCGTTGGTCGAAGACCGGTACTTGTTGCGTGTTAACGCCACAAAGTGCACCTTTTCCCTCTCCCCCTCCTCCGCTCCTCGCCTCACCCCCCACGCACTCGTCCTACACAGAGTTAAAGGTCGAAGATATCAAGTAAATGTCAACAGCATTTCCTTCTTCCAAATTAAATTGTGTTTACCTTTAGATAAGTTCCTCATTGTCTGAAGTCAACATTAAAGTTCAGCATAATAACTCCTTCATGATCTAAACATTCCAGCCATCGTGATTGCTTTGTTTTGCTTTCATTTTCGATCATTTTCGCGCCACATCCTGTTTCCAGGATGAACAGTCTTCAATCATCAGGAGGGTCGCTGTCAATAGTGGCAACGCGTTAATATTTGACGTGTGAGTTTAATTAGAAAACTACCAGTTCTACTACCTCACAAAGAAACAGCGCTAGGCGGCTAATCCTGTCAATTTTCATCACGAAGGGCGCTGAACAAGGAAGCTTCATGGACAGAGCGAAGGAATTGCCACAGAGGGGAACAGCATCAAAGCCAGGAGCCGAGGAAGGAAAGGTAATACAGTTTCATAATGTTTAATTTTCTACGACGACCTGGTTAACATTACGCACAGCAATAAGTTCCCGGGAATGTAAGACTTTTAATTACTTCTCACTTCAAATCGCATCACCAGTTTCTGGGAAAATGCTGTCCCTTGTTTGCGTGCTATTCAGGATTTGTAATTAATTGTCTTGTTGAACAGCTCCATCAGATCAACAGCCAAAGCTTCTTTGCAGACTTCTTTTAAGCGAGAGCTTCAAAAGCGCGGATTTGTAATTTTGCGTCGTTTCTCGGAAGGTGATACGCAGTTGAAAACTTCGAAACCTTAAACC